GGCAGACAGGACTCTCATAGGGGCATTATAGGACGTAGATCCCACTAAATGTGTTGTAGACTCTATCAGGAAGACTGCCCCCGGGCCACTGGGGATGCCTTGCTAGTGGACTCCCCTATTTAACCCACAGGCAACCCTAGCATTCCATACACTCACCCCACAGGCCCCCACACTGTGGCTTGCTCCCTGTATGCACTCTCACTGACAAGAGTGAGCGTTGTCAAACAGCTAGTGAGCACAGGCAGAAAGCTGGTCTGGATCTGTGGGTCAGAAAGAGACTGCAAACTTCAGCTTAAGCTACAAAAACCCCCCAACAAACAAAAGTCCGTGACCAGATGGCTTCACAGGCAAATTCTACCAACATTTAGAGAAAAGTTAATATCCATTCTTCTCACACTATTCCAAAAAAATAGAAAAGGAAGGAAAACATCCAAATTCATCCTGTGAGGCCAGTATTACCCTAATACCAAAACCAGATAAAAACATCACTTAAAAAGAGAGCTATAGGCCAATATCCCTGATGAACATAGATGCAAAAGTTCTCAATAAAATACTAGCAAACCGAATCCAGCAATACATTAAAAACATAATTCACCACGATCAAGTGAGATTTATTCCTGGGTTGCAAGGGTGGTTCAATATTTGCAAAGTAATCAAAATGATACATCACATTAATAAAAGAAAGGATAAGAACCATATGATCACTTCAACAGATTCAGAAAAAGCATTTGACCAAGTACAACACCCATTCATGATAAAACCCCTCAACCAAGTAGGCTTAGAGGGAACATATCTCAACATAATAAAGGCCATATAAGAAAAACACACAGCTAATATAATCCTCAAAGGGGAAAAACTGGGAGCTTTTCCTCTATGGTCAGGAACAAGACAAGGATGCCCACTCTCACCACTTTTATTCAACATGGTACTGGAAGTCCTAGCCACAGTAATCAGACAACAAAAGGAAATAAAAGGCATCCAGATCAGCAAGGAAAAAGAGAAACTTTCACTATTTGCACATAACATGATACTATACATGGAAAACCTCAAAGAATACACACACACACACACCACCACCACCACCACCACCAACAACAACAACAACAACAACAAAACAAAAAACTGCTAGAACAGATAAATGAATTCAGTAAAGTTACAGGATACAAAATCAACATACAGAAATCTGCTACATTTCTATATACCAATAATGAAGCAGCAGAAAGATAAACTAAGGAATCAATCCTTGCACTTTACACTTGCATCAAAAATAATAAGATACCTAGGAATAGACCTAACCAAAGAGATGAAAGGCCTCTACTCAAAACACTGATGGAAGAAACTGAATATGATACAAAGAAGTGGAAAGATATTCGCTGCTCATAGATTGGAAGAAAAAATATTGTTAAAATGTCTATACTCCCCAAAGCAATCTACACATTTAATGCAATCCCTATCAAAATACCAAGATCATTTTTCACAGAGTTAGAACAAACCATAGTAAAATTTGTATGGAACCACAAAAGATCCTGAATAGCCAAAGCAACCCTGAAAAGGAAAAGCAAAGCTGGAGACATCATAATTCTGGACTTCAAGTTATATTACAAAGCTGTAGTGATCAAAATGGTATGGTACTGGCACAAAAATAGATACATAGATCAATGGAACAGAATAGAAAACCCAGAAATATACCCAAAACTATACGGTCAATTCATCTTTGACAAAGCTAGAAAGAATATCCAATGGGAAAAAGACTGTCTCTTCAACAAATGGTGCTGGGAAAACTAGACAGCTACATGCAAAAGAATGAAACTGGACCACTTTCTTACACCATACACATAAATAAACTCAAAATGGATTTAAGTCCTAAATATGAGGCTGGAAACCATTAAAATTCAAGAAGAGAGCAGAGGCAGTGACCACTTTGACATCAGCTATAGCAACTTCTTTCTAGATATGTCTCCTAAGGTAAGGGAAACCAAATCAAAAATAAACTATTGAGACTACATCAAAATACAAAGCTTCTGCATAGTGAAGAAAACAATCAACAAAACTAAAAGGCAGCCTCTGAATGGGTGGAGATATTTGCAAATGATGTATCTGATAAAGGGTTTGTATCCAAAATATATAAAACTCAACACCCAAAAAATGAATTATCCAATTAGAAAATGGGCAGAAGACATGAGCAGGTATTTTTCCAAAGAAGATATTCAGATGGCTAACAGATACATGAAAAGATGCTCATCATCACTTATCACCAGGGAAATGCAAATCAAAAGCACAATGAGATATCATATCACACCTGTTAGAATGGCTAAAATCAAAAACACAAGAACAACAAGTGTTGGCAAGAATGTGGAGAGAGAAGAGCCCCATGTGCTATTGGTGGGAATATAAGTTGGTATGACCAATTTCTTCAAAAATTTAAAGACAGAAACACCATATGGTCCAATAGTTCTGCTATTGGGTATTTATCCAAAGAAAGTGGAAACACTTATTTGAAAAGAAACGCACCCCTATGTTTATTGCAGCAATAGCCAAGATATGGAAGCCAGGTAAATGTCCACCAATAGACAAATGGATAAGGAAAAGACGGCATATAATGGAATATTATACAGCTATAAAGAATGAGATTGTGCTATTTGAGAAAACATGGATGGACCTAGAAGGTATTATGTTAAGTGAAATAAATCAGACTGAAAAACATAAATAAATCAGACTGAATACCATATGATTCCACTCATAAGTGGAATCCAAAAAAAAAAAATAATAAACAAACAAAAAGCAGAATCAGACCTATAAATACAGAGAATAAACTGATGTTTGCAAAAGGGGAGTGATATGGGGGATTGGGCAAAATGGGTGAAGAGGAGAAAGAGATACAGTCTTCCACTTATGAAATGAATAAGTCATGGGATTAAAAGACACAGCACCAGGGAAAAAAAAGATGTGAGATACACACACACACACATACACACAATTTATATATACAATTTATATACAACATATAAACAATTTAATATTCAGCTACAAGAAAGAAGGAAATCCTGCCATTTGTGATAGCATGGATGGATCTTAAGGGCATTATACTAAGCGAAATAAGTCTGACAGAGAAAGACAAATACTGTATGATGTCACATGTGGAATTAAAAAAGCCAAACTCAAAAACAAAGAGGTGGTTGCCAGGGACTGGGGGAGGAAGAGAAATGGAGAAATGTCAGTCAAAGGATACAAACTTTCAGTTATTAAATGAGTAAGTTCTGAGGATCTACTATATAGCATGGTGACTATAGTTAACGATATGGTATTATATACTTAAAAACTGCTAAGACAGTAGGGGTGCCTGGGTGGCTCAGTCAGTTAAGCATCTGACTCTTGGTTTCAGCTCAGATCATGATCTCACAGTTCATGAGTTCGAGCCCTGCATCCGGCTCTGCGCTCACAGCGTGGAGCCTGCTTAGGATTCTCTCTCTCCTTCTACCTGCCCCTACCCCGCTATCACTGTCTCTGTCTCTCTCTCTCAAAAAAAATAAAAAAACAAAAAAACAAAAACGTTAAGACAGCAAATCTTAAATGTTTTCCCCATAAAAAGGAAATGCTAATTATGTGAGGTAATGGAAGTATTAACTAACACTACTGTGGCAGTCATTTTGCAATATACAAGTATATCAAATCATCATAGTATATATACCTTAAACTTACACATTATAGGTCAATTGTATCTCTTTTTTTTTCAGTAGCTTTATTTTTTTTTATTTTTTTTGAAATTTATTGTCACATTGGTTTCCATACAACACCC